GCAATTTTATTTTTAAAGAAATGGGGTCACTTTTCCTGTAGAGTTTCTCTTTCACAATCTGTATTTTTTTTATTCAGACACCCCTTTGATGTCATTTAATATGTTCCCCTGCCCTGGATTTTCTATAAATCAGTAAGATATAAAGCTTTGATTAGATTCAGGATTCTTTTTTTCCCTGAGAGATGTTTGGCCTTCTTTTTAAATTGAATTATATAAGTTGAACACCTCTCAAGGTTACACTGCAATTTTCTCAACTAATTTCCTGTTGTTTGGCATTTAGGCTATTCCCAATATTTCTCTATTATATAGATTGTTGCAAAAATCCATATAGCCGAGGGCCCTCCCTGGTGGCGCAGCAGGTTAAAGCACAGCACTAAGAAACTAAAGCCACTTCAGCATGAGTTCCATCCCCGCCTGCCCTGGAGGTGACCACATGGCACGACAGACCTCCCCTGACCCGCCCACTGCTCCCCTCAGTAGTGAACTTTGTTGACCTGCCCGTTCTGCTCCCCACTCTGTCTCTGGTGAATCCTTTCACCCTCTGCATTTTTGGCTTGTACCCCAGTTCTGTATGAATCAATAAATAAATCTTTAAAAAAAATCCATATAGCCGAAAGACACATAGTGACATTATCCTACCTTTGAAAGGTAGGATTAATAAGCAACTAATATTTTTCCTTTCTGTAAATGATATTTGTTATTTGCCTGATATTTTTTCAAAAAATTTAAACACTGCAGTGACTACCCCTGAACCTTTACACATACCTTTAAACTTTTAGTGGAGATAAGAAATACTGGATTAAAATATATGCTCTTTTTAAAGGCTTTGATTTGATTACTAAATTTACCTCCAGAAAGATCCACCATGCATGAAAAAAAGAAATGGGTGTCACTTAAGGTATGATTTTCTAAATTTCATTTAGATATTTTCATTACATTTATCCAACAAAAGGGAAAGTAAATTGGTACAGCCACTATGGAAAATAGTATGATGATTTCTCAAAAAAATTAAAATAGAGCTACAATATCATGCAAAAATTTCACTCCTGGGTATTTATCTGAGGAAAACAAAAGCACTAACTTGAAAATATATAAGCATCCCCATCACTGCAGCATTATTTACAACACAAAGACATCAAATATTAGTGTCCATCAGGGTATGAATGGATAAAGAAAATATGATTAACTTTTATACACACACACATATATACAGGTATTTACATGGATAGTGTGATATTATTCAGCCATAACAGAAAGCTATCTTCCCATTTGCAACCATATGGATGGATCCTGAGGGCTCCCACTGGATACCTCAGCTCACAGTGAAGCGGAAAAGCTGATAGAACCATTGGTACTACTAGGTGCAGTCTCTGGCCAATTTCAGAAAAGCCACATTTCAACATAGCATATGTTAGACTATTGTAATGATCATTATATATACAATATAATATTATGTTGTAAACCTGAAAGTAATGTTAGTCAATCATAGCTTTAAAAAAAATTATGTGACAAATATTTGAACACTGACTTGTTACAAGGAATACCGTAGGCACCAGATATAAAGCAAAGGAGGAGAGTGAGAGAAGGGGTGAGATGGAGCTGGGGAAAGAGCAAAGGACTATGGAAGGACTATGGGGGCTTTGGTGGGGGATGTTCCTGAAAGGGAGGATCTTGATTTTAATTTCAAATTCACTTCTGAAAATCTTAGCAGTTCATGACATGCAGTCTCCAAAAGGTTGGCAATATAATGATGATGACAGCAGCCATCATTTACTCACTGAACTTTCCTAAATCCAATCCAGGCAAGGAATGTGTTATGTTGCAAATGTATCTTACTCATCAACAACATTTTAAATTGAGAATTAGTGCCAACTACTAATTAAGATGAGAAAACAAAGATTCAGAAAAATATATTTAACTTAACTCAGACTCTCCAGCCAACCTTCAGAAGATTTGAGATACTAACCCAAATAGTCTCACTGGAGTCCTCAATCCCTAATATAACAAAACTTTATTACTCAGTTTTGTTAGGCTCATTTTAGTATGTGAAGGCATCCCCATAGAACTTGAAGCACATTTTTATACCAAATGAGACTGTAAATAGCTGGATTCTGTCTTACCCATAAAATCCTATTAAGCTCATAATATTCCTGCAAATAGCTAGTATTATATAACCTATGTTTTGTAATCATAATTTTATTTATATATATATATATACACATATTTAAAGATTTACTTATTTACTCATACAGAACTGGGGTACAAGCCAGAGATGCAGTGGGTGAGAGGATTCACCAGAGACAGAGTGGGGAGCAGAACAGGCAGATCAATGATGTACACTGCTGAGGGGAGCAGCAGGCGGATCAGGAGAGGTCTGCCTTGCCATGTGGATTTCCTCCGGGGCAGGCGGGGATCGAACTCATGCGGAAATGGCTAAAGCTTCTTAGTGCAGTGCTTTAACCTGCTGCGCCACCAGGGAGGGCCCCATAATTATATTTTATTAAATAAATTAAATATGAAATGTTTGAATGCCAGGATCCTGTTTTCCTTATTATAACTTCAGCTGGAATGGAGCTACTGGGAGATCTAAGTCACTGCTGATAAGAAAAGACAAGGAAAGAAGTAGGATAAAGACAGAGTGAGACAGCTAAAGAGCTGTCTGAAGAGATGAAAAGAGCTTAGAAGAAGTTAAGGGAAGGCAAGGAAAAGACCTGGCAGTCTGGAGAAGTAGGTTGCAGATTGGCAAGGAAGGAGAAATGTAATGTTGATGTTTTTTCTTACTTTATCTAATACATATTTTGCTATCTAACTTATTCCAGCTGGTGTCAATACTACAAGTCCTCCAGTGAAATAACAATGATTGACAGAAGAATGGAGGTAGGTGAAAGAGGACAGTGTCATAAAATATGTAGTACCACAAATAGATCCTAAGTAAAGCATGATGGATAGGGAGTCATAGCAAGAGCCAGCTCAGTGATCAATAGTGAAGAAGTCTGATATCTGAGACTTCTGTAACAACCTTTAGTCATCTGATTAATGGTAACTCATGACCTGTATTAATACTTGTAAGAGTATCTCAATCACTGCTTCCCCTTTTTATTTCTTTCTATATACTTTTATGATGTGGTTTGTTTGGATTTCTAATTTTATTCCACAATAACTGGTTACACTTTTTCCTCTTCTTATACTACTAAACATGATTGATTTTTTTTCATTCTTTATTCATTCTCAAACATTTTCACTTGTCTGTTTGTTATGATCTTTGGCAAAAGAGTAGTAGCTATGAAACTGTATGTTGGCAATATGAAAATAACTACCTGTAGTAGAATATTTTCAAAATATATAATCACAAATTCCATAAAATAAAGTTGGTTCCAAATTACTACTTCCATTAATTTCCTATTCACAAGCTATCTGTCCAAAAATATTAAAAATTTAAATGATACTTACCCCACTAGGCCTATATCAGCTATAAGTTTAAGATCAAGGTGAATAATTCGTTTCTGGCCTTTCAATGGTAAGAAATTTGTAAGCAATTTACCACCAAGGCCTCCTTCAGCTACCAAAAGTCTGTCTTTTTCTTTATTGAGTTCTCCTTAAAAAGAAAAATTAGAGTATGCGATAGTAAGTGGAGGTAATCATTAGTGATTTTTGTTGCAGAAATAGATACCAGAAAAATCCAATTCACAAATCCAAATAGAAACATAAAATTATGTTCCTATTAAAAATCTGATCTTGGGCCCTCCCTGGTGGCGCAGCGGGTTAAAGCACAGCACTGAGAATCTAAAGCCGCTTCCACATGAGTTTGATTCCCGCCTGCCCCGGAGGTGACCACATGGTGTGGCAGACCTCTCCTGACACGCCCGCTGCTCCCCTCAGCAGTGTACTTCGTTGATCTGCCGGTTCTGTTCCCCACTCTGTCTCTGGTGAAGCCTCTCACCGCCCCTGAGCCTCTGGCCTGTACCCCAGTTCTGTTGCACAAATAAATAAATGTTTAAAAAAAAAAATCTGATCTTGAAGAAACAATTTTAAGTGATTGAAAGAGACTACTTAAATGTTTTAAAACCAAGTAAATGCTCTTTAAAATAATTTGAAATCTAGCAGTTAATTTTAATATCTTTTATTTAAAGTTTTAAAAAGTACTTTTATAAATCAACAATTGAAATTGTAATTTGTTTTAAAAATTCAAGACTCAAGAAAATTATTCCCCAGTGTCCAATTTTTCATGACCTTAGAATCTAAGGTACACTTACCTATAATTTTACCATTTTCATCAGTTACTGAGATTCCTACAGGTACAGGAATTTCACAGTCTTTTCCTTTGGAGCCTTTTAGTGCACTAACCCTACAAAAAATTAAGCCAAATTAAAGTGACAACAATCCACTAAATGGGATAACTTATATTCAAACAAGTTTAATGATTTACCAAGGAAACTATCAACCAACTCTTCTAATGGAGATGTTAAATAGTCAAATACTGGGGGAAAAAATAATTATCCTTAATTATTTATTCGTATTTAGGCCATTACATTCCCAAAGAAAATAATACAAATTAATGATTTAAGATACCAAGCTAACCACAGTCACTGTAACTCATAATGAACTAAAATACTGTATACTTGATGATAGAGATAATTGCTATAACACAAATAAAATTCAAATTGTCTTCCACAACACCAAGTCTCTCTTGGCTCTACATTCTGTTTCCTCCCCTGAAATGCTGGTGAATAAAAATATGACACTCAACTCCTTTCTCCTCCATAACCAACTTTCCCTGGTTCATGCACAGAACAAACAATATTGTGATTCTAGAATAGACCACATGGTAAATCACAAAACATTTATTTCAAGGGCTTGCTGGATATGTCTGAAGATACTTTAAATTGCCTTACTCTTCATCCCAGTGCCATATTCGTACTATGATCTTCTCAAAGAATGGTACTATCAACTTAGCATTACTCAAGTCAAAACAGGTGTCATCCTTGATTTTTCAGCTTCTAATACAGCATCATTCATTAAATCTATTTTACTTTCTAACAATATTGAATCCATCCATTTGTGTCAACCAATTCATTCATTCAATCAACTAATGCTGAGTATTTTACTATGTGTCAATCATGCACTAGATGTCTGAGATAAAATGGTCTAAATGAGTATGTTCCCTGCCCTCATGAAAGTTACCACAGTCTCACAGGAGAACAGATGTTAGTCAAACACATGAAAAATGGAAAATGACAATTGTGGCAAGTCATATTAATGACAGCCTACATTTTTGTGTGGGGTATGAGAATTCAGACCTTTTGAGGGAAATCAGCAAAGTCTTGAGTTTTTAAATCTAAGGGATCAATAGATTCCAGTTGGGCAGATGGGAGAAGAAAGCATTGTAGGAATGATAACATGAAGAAATATACAGTGATAAATATCAGCTGAAGACACTATAAAAAAGGCAAGTATGGCTGAGATTTATCAAACAGGGTAGACTTTGATTCAGACTATCATTTTTGAAATATTGTAGTATTTACCAACTGATCTCATCTCCAGATTCAGTCACCTCTAATTATTCTTAATTTAGCTACCTCTAGAATGATTTTTCTAAAACACCAGTTTATAAATGTCAGCTGACTATTTAAAATCCTTCAATATTCCCTATCACTCTAAGATAATATTAAACATTCTTTAACATAGTGTATCAGGCTCTTCCTGATCTGGAACACAATGTCTTTATTTCACAAAATGTCACTCTGCTTGTACCACCTTTATGATAGAAATAAACTTATTTCACATACTAGCATGTTCTCTCCTAATCCAGGTCATGTGTATTATATGTATACATACATGCATGTATGAACATTCACACACACACACCACTGCCAACACAACTTTTCCTGCCTTGACTTCTAGTAAAGTCCGAAGTGCCTTTCAAGGCATGGTTCAAGCACCATTTTCAAAATACAGGTAAGCTGAGGAAAATATTAATTTCAGAAAACTAGTAACATCTACTAAATCAAAATACTTTGGTTCATCATAACACCATCTCCCAGCTAAACTGATTTATGCTTGCTATAATATCATATACCACTTCAATTACTTTAAAGTTTTTTCTATTATTTCAAAATAGCTCAAAGAAATTTTGAGACGGAAGAAGTACATATTTTTAATAAAAAGTTCACCAATTGTAACGAATAAGAATGAAGATTAAGTCTTGCCCCTATATTCTAAAATATGCAATATAAAATCCCAGATAAACATTCTATTTAAGTCTTTGTTAAAAATTTGAAATTATACATCATCTTTTATATTCAACTAATTAGAACATAGAATGAGGGTAGAACTGTAGCAATTTTAATTCTCAAAAAAATTGTAAAATTTTTTTTTGTTATGTTAGTATGAAAAATCCCACTTTTTCCTACCTGTAACACCAAAATGGACTGTGGGTAGACTATGGGTGGTTTGGTGGTGGTTGTGATGTGATAACATACAGCTGAGAAATGTGAACCTATACCTCTGAATCAAACGCCATTTTGTAAACCAATGTTACCTTACTAATAAAAAAAAAAATAGCATTCTGAACTCAAAACTACTCTGTAATCTTAGTTGAAAGTGTTCTTCATGCTGCAATACATGGGTGTCTACCACCCCGCCTCTATCCTCTTCTTATATCCACTCCCAATTAAATATCTGATGTATCCTACAGTATTGTGACAAATAGATATATTCAAACACTTCCTTGGAAAGAGAGAAGAAAAAAATATATAAAATCTTATCTTTATGTCAACACCTTCTAAAAAATAACAATACAGTGTTAGAGGTCTGATGAAGGGTACTTTGCACTTTGATGGAAGTTTTAAGAATTTATTTCTTCGTATTTCTCATAATGAAAGAATAAGTTGTTCTCATATTTTGAAAGCAATGTAAGTTTCACAAATGATAACTAACACTAACAAAAATAAAGGGAATGTTTTGCTGTCATAGAAGATAAAAATAGGAGCAAAAGGAAGATATTCAAGGGGTCTATCAGTGAAAGTCTTTAAATTTTAAGCATTGCCTATAATATCCTGGCAGATAATGGTTGGTGGTGTAGCGTAGCAATATTGAAATTTGAGAAAGCTTACATAAAGATTACAAAAGATAACTTTAAAAGAAAACATTGGGGATTCATAGCACTTTGTATTTTTAAAGAAGTACAAAAAAAGCCAGCCATTTGGTAGAATAAAAAATGTGAAAGCTCCACAACATTTCTTTCTACCTACAGTTTATCTTGCTTTACTAAAGTTGAATAAATTACCAATTTTATCTTTCAACTTTTTTTTGCCTCCAGAAGAGATTAATGTTATAAAATCAAAAGTCATTCAGTAAATGCTTACCGACTATTTGCTCCTTCTCCAGCCACAAATCTCTTCTTAGGGTATTTGTTTTTAAGTTGTTTTAAAGTCATTTTGTTATTGGCAACAACCCAGACATCACCGCCTTTTCCACCTTCTCCACCTAAACGAGGGTAACCCATTCCACCACTTCCGCCTCTGGTGAAAATTCTTAGGTTATCAACGAAGTTTCCATACTTAAAAGACAGTGAGAGAACATTTGTATAACCAAAGAGCTTCCAAATTATAACTACTTCCTACTTTGCTGTCACTGAGTACCTTATAAAAGTCACTCAATAGTCACTTTCTATAGCCAAATTCCAACTACCTTCCTGTTTGACCTCCCTTCCCCAGTTGAATAACTGATAAAAATATTAATTGTCCTACTTATCCAACTCTCCCTGAGATTGGCCCACTTTTCAATCTTGACTTTCTCTCTGTGGGTGCTCTCTGCCTGTAGCATTAGTTATCACCTAAATGAGATATTTCCTCTAATATTTTGGACATCTCCAACAGGACATCAGCTTAACTAAAACAACCAAGTGAAAGATCTGTATTTAATTTGTTCTTAACATAGTAGCTGAAAGGATAATAATCACCCCAAATACATTGCATTAAACATGTATAATCATGACACAAATATGTATAAAAATGGCAAAAACAAACTTTTCCCCAGATAAATTGTTCCTCTATTTTTCTCTCAAATGATGGAACCACAGTTTATCTAGTCATTGAGTACACCTACGTATGGAAACTTTGAACAAACCTGCTTCTTTCTGTAAAGGTTTTCCTTTCTGATTCAAATGTCATAGTATCTTCACCATCACATTAATTCATTTTGGTGTTCTTTTAGAGTCCTTTTAGTCTTTCAGTGCTCAATCATTTCTTCAACACATCCTTTCTTGTTCTATTCATTTCTTATTGTACTTTGAGCTATTTTTCTGTAAATGGATCTGATCTCTGGTTGATCCCTTACTCAACACCCAACCATGGTTTTTTGTTTGTTTGTTTGCTTTTTGCTGTTTATTACAGAAAGTCTAAAATTCTGGGTATTATACTCAAAGCTCTTAACCTACCCTTCGAGTTTCATTTTCACTCACTGAATCCTTTTCTTCCTCTTTGCTCTGTCATAATATATTCTCATGTCTCCACAGTCCCATTTGTTCTTTTCTAACATAAAACTCCTAAATGTATTTTCTGATGTTTCTCTCAATTCCTTTTTTTTTTTAAAAGATTTATTTATTTATTCATATAGAACTGGGGTATAGGCCAGAGGTACAGGGGGTGAGAGGATTCACCAGACAGAGTGGGGAGCAGAACAGGCAGATGTACTGAAATCAAATGCTGAGGGAGCAGCGGGGTGGTCAGGAGAGGGTTGCCACACCATGTGGGTCAGCTCCCTGGGTGGGGATGGAACTCAAACTGCAGTGGCTGCAGATAGCTTCATAGTGTTGTGCTTTAATCAGCTGCACCACCGGGGAGGGCCTCTCTCAATTCTTTGAATCAGCACTCACTGCTGACTTTTCTGTGTTCTTTCAGCAATTAAATTCTCTCTCTATTATTACATCTGTTACATTTCTTATTGTATTTTGTATTTACTTCTGTTTCCCTCACTAAGTTAAGAACTTGCAGCCAAGATCCTATGTATTAAGCTTCCAGACCAGCAAAATTCCTTACAGAGTAATCTCTCAAACTTAATATCTTTACTTCCTGGGTCATCAGATTATCAAGAACATCTGGGAACTTTTTTCCAAATACAGACACTCTACTGACCTTTCTGATAAGAAGAGAGGTTGAGGGTGGGTGAGCCAGTAAGTATATTTGGCTAAAATTTCCTTGGTAATTCTGAGTCAGTCTAGATCTGAGATTGCAGTGGACAGGATAGGAATACAGCAAAGATGCAAAGCATAGGTTGCCATTTGAGTAGGCAAATGCATGTAGTCATGAAATAGTGTAAAGAAAGAGAATGGAAGGAACTTAAGATCTAACCTAATATGAACGTAAGATCTAACTAGAATATTATTTCCTGGGTGAAGTACTTATGTTTGTCTGAGAGGCTACACAAAAAATGTATCACAAGTAGAATGCAGAAATAAAGACTCCCCTGGCAAACAACACTGAATGGAAGTGTTCATGGCAGTAAAGCTACACAAGCAACTTTTAATTACCTATCTACAAAGAAACGGTAATTTACTTTTTAATTGAGGATTAGTTACCTCTAAGTCTCTTCTTTTGACTAGCCTCTTTAAAATAGGTAGATAAAGTATAATTTCACTCAAATATTATGACCCATGTCTTTCCTCTGTTGAAAAGAACACTCCTATTTTTAAAGATCCATTCAATGTGTGACACATCCTATATGGCTCTAGAGTCATCAGATTCAGAGGTTTTTAGAAACCAAATTTTAAAATACCTTAATCTTGTCTTTAAAGTAGTGACAAAACTATGACACTGGTAGGTTTCAGAAAACATTTAACAAAGAGCCCAGTAGGGCTCTTAAAGAGTTAAAAAGCAAAACAAAAACTGAGGCAACTGTAAATTTCTTACCAAAACAGCTCTTAAAGCCGGCACTACACACACACACAATCTGACTTCCCGTAAGGCTAGAGAATGACATATTTTTGTTCCGTTCCCTGATGAAAATCGTTTTTTAGAAAGCTTTTAAAACAAGGCCCTCCCAGGTGGCGCAACAGGTTAAAACACAACACTATAAAGCTATTACAGCCACTGCAGAACGAGCTCCATTCCCTAGCCAGGGAGCTAACCCTCATGGCTCCTGTCTCCCCGCTGCTCCCCTCAACAGTCTATTTCAGTACATTTGTCTGTTCTGCTCTCCACTCTGTCTCTAATGAATTACTCTCACCCTTACACCCCAGTTCTGTATGCCTAAATAAATCTTTTTAAAAAGAAAGAAAACGCTCTTAAAAACAATGTACTTGAGGAGAAAAATAAGATCGGGTTACAGATACAGTACAATATTTAAATCAAGAGAAAAAAATCAACTTTACACTCCATGTATACCATACTGCATGTACAACTGACAGCTCTTCATCCCACGTGCATACGCACAATTCTGAAAAAGCTCAAACCCCTACCGCAGCCAAACAACAGTACTAAACATATTGTTCCCGCCTCACAGGACAAGTTAGACCACGAGAGGGGCAGAGAGAATTACAGTACATCCAAGCAAGCAAGAGGCCTGTAGGAAGAAAAAAACGGAGAGATAGCAGCGAAGTCGAATCAGAGCCCTGAAGGGGTGCTCCACACACCCCGCTATCGGGTCTCATTCCAAGGGGCAATGGTCACGGACCTTTCTCAACAACGCGCAACTGCAGTGTACCATGACAGCGACGGTTAGGATTCCCTCTTGTGGAAGCTGTACACACAGGACCACCGCGCGGCTCTTCTACGTCATCTCCAGTCGCTGACGTCACTTTTCCAGGGCGCTTTCTACAGGGGCAAGCGCATGCGCCGTGCCTTGCACTTGCAAAGGGCCCGCTGGCGCGTGCGCTGTACAACTCATCCTATGAGGGGTTGGAAGAAAGCGGCTTCTGTTTAAGAGTTACGATAGCAGCAAAGTATGCGACGATGCCAAGAAAAAGCGTGGTTGACTTAGAATCCACCATTTTGAGCGAACAACACTGGAGCCTGAACTCCCTTGGACGAATTTTTATGCTGATTGGGGAAAACAAAGGTACCTGTATTTCAGTGAAGCAAATGAGGAAAAAAAACAAAACCCTCCAATAGACAGACGGTGAACCCAAAGACACGGAGAACACGGAAATTTGCTAGTTGTGAATATCTCTAGTAAAAGCAATAAATTTAAAGCTCGTGACACGAATGATACAAATGGAAGATGGGAAATTTCTTAGAATTTCATTATATTTAGTAGGAAAGGGAACTTTACTTTTCAAGTGTTTATCAAAGAATAGCTTTTTGGAGTTGGGTAGATCAGAGTCTTTATCACCTCTCATTGAAAGCATGTTTTTGTGAGAATTAGAAAGAGATGGCCTTTTTCCAGCCTGTTCAGGACGAGCACAGAGATCCTAGGGCAGGGAAAAATGTCTACAGCCTGAGTAGGAAGCGCTGCACTACACGACCATCTTTCTTAACCATCAGACTTATTTCCCAGAATCTTTTTCACATTTCCATTATTTATGACAGTGATTACTTGAAAATACATGGTATGAAAACTGCCCCTCCTTGTCGTAATTCCTTTGCAGCTGCTAAACTTAACTTTCCCTACCAATCAGCAAGGCTATATTTTGCAATGCAACATGTGCTAAGTAATCAAGACTTTAGGTTGTTGCTGTGTCAATATTTAGCTTAATCTTGGTCATATTTGCTTCCCATTTGGATTACTATCTTTACTAGGTCTTTGCATTATGTCGGAGCTATTTTTCTGAGATTTATTTCTTATGACAAGCCCAAGTTGTTTTCTTTCCTATAATAAATAGATGGAGAAAATGAGCGCAGATAAAAAATAAATGAGACATTGATCTAAAACATCCACAAATACTGAGGAAGATTATGTGCTATAAATGAAAGAAAAAGCATAATATTTTCCTTGAACAAAACATTGGTCAGAACCTATGCTATTTATTACAGTTCTAGTTTCCAGATAGTAAAAAACCATAAAACTGGAATTTGTTCCTCTTAATATGTGTGACTAAAATAAATATGAAGTGAAATGATTGAAAGTATTATCAAGACCTGATGCAGAAGTTACTATTAGAAGAAAGTATTACTGCCTCTGCCACTGATAAGACAGACTGCCTTCTTCATGGTTGCTCAGAAGATAAAGTTGAGGCAAACCATTAAATTCAGTGTTACTAAAGAATTTTGCATAAAAGTTTTGATAATTTTAAACGACCTATTGACATAACATTTTTTTAATATCAACTAGAGTTATTTCAATAAAATTTTAACAATTTATTTTGGAATAAAGTTTAAATTTACAAAAAACATTAGAGGTGACCCAAAGAGTTCCCATACATCTTTTACTCAGCTTGCTCTGTAACATCCAATCCAGGATTTGACACTCCATTACACTTAATTTAATAAACACTTAACTATACATATTCATTATTATGCTTAAAAGTTAACACTTAACTATGCTTAGGATTAACAATTCTAATATTTTATGATGTATTGTTTAATTTTGTCAGCAGTCTAAAATAAGGTGTCTACATTGATTCTCTGCTCTTGTAGGCTATCTAAATTGTCTCTAGGCTAATATCTATTCTGTCTACTCATCTTTATAGAGTCCCACATTTTGTCTATCACACTTTTAGTTCTACTTAACTAAGGGGAGTCAACATAACTGGATGGAAGATTCCTATGTGAAACTGCAAAGGTAGAGTCTGTCATCAATTTCCTATTGCTCCTTCTGGTGTTCACTAACTTTCTACAAATGCCAGCCCCTTTCCCTCCACATCAAAAACTCATGTTCCAGGACCCACAAAGAAGGTTCCAATGTGATTTTTGTCCCTTAGCATGAATCTTTAGTTCCCTCCTTTTCTTTCATATCAACACTTAGCCCAGAAAGAGTAGAAGTAGATTCTCTTAGGGAAAATGTTTTTAAGTAATTATTTTTGATTGGGGTAATACCACTATCAAGTATTGTCAACATAGTGTACCTGCCATCATAACACACCGACTATGAAATTACCCATAGTCCACCATCACAGTCCATTATGATTCCTTCCCTTTTTGTTCTTATCCCTCCCCCACTTCCTTGATTGGATGCTTAGTTCCATAGTCAGCTTTCTTGGGTTAGCTTTTAAATTGTCTTTATCTGACCCATAGCTTGGTTTCTCTGTATTCCACATATTAGTGACACCATCTAGTATGTATTTTTCTCCTTCTGATTTGTTTCACTTAGTATTACCCCTTCTAGTTCTATCCATGTTGTAGGGTAAATATTTCTAGTGATGTGGGACCACAGGCCTAAACTAAGAGTTGGAGCCAAGTGAGAAAGACAGATTAAGTGTATAAGTAAATAAGCTAAGTCAGTATTCAGGCTTCTCTTATGAGATAATAACTATTTTCACATTCCTATGAAGTTTCATATATAACATATAAATGAAAATACAGCACTGCATGTAGAATCATAAACAGTTTTGTTATGTTATTCTACTTCTTTCTATTAATACATTTGCTCAAGAGTAGTTCACTTAAGCGTTTGCTATGATATTAATTTCTGATGTTTCAGCATCTGCAATTTTTGTTATGACCAATGTAGATTAGCAAGAGGCAATAATTAAATTGGATTTGCTAGTACTAATTAACAAAATGCTTCCTGTCTGCATTCCCTTTGCCCGAGCCACCCCAAAGACAGAGGATTAAAATAATAGTTTGTTTTTAGTATCCATAACCTTAGTCTTGTATAATTGCTCACTCCCACTTAAAGTTACTTTTTGCTGCAGCTACTAAGTACTATTTTGCTGTCATCTCACAGTACCTGTCAAACAGGATCTCAGTTATGGATTTGATGCCTGCATTTTATAATCTGACATTCATATGAGTCAGTGTGCTAATTATCTCAAGTCATTTACTTTTTATTTTCTACTGAAAAAATTTCAATTTTTAGAGTAGGAAAACTTCAGTGGAGAAAATATGTGGAACCAGAAGGAATTTATGCTTCTATACAATTAATTCTAATATTAACTACTTTATTAATATTACCAGGCTTCATCAATTGTCATATACAAAAAAAGAAAATATGTTCACCGTAACCTTTTATCCATAAGATCTTCAGAGGTGGCTTTTAACCTGTTTAATATACCAATTGATTATATCACTGTATTCAAGGTCCTCCTATGTTCTAATAGTTCCAGCCATCATATCCACGTTCCAGACAGAAACCATTATGAAATTTTTTCTTGGACATTCATGAGTTATCTCATTACCATCTCAGTCTTAAAAAAACAACTTTTTCTTTTTTTAAGATATTTTATTTATTTATGTATACAGAACTGGGGGTCAGGCCAGAGGCACAGGGGCAGTGAGAAGATTCACTAGAGATGGAGAACAGAACAGGCAGATTGACGAAGTACACTGTTGAGGGAAGCAGCCAGCGAGACAGGAGAGATCTGCTGATGTGGGTCACCTCCAGGGTGGGGATTGAATTCTTACTGAAGTAGCTGTGGTCAGTTTGCAGGGCTGTGCTTTAAACCGCTGCGCCACCAGGGAGGGCTACTTTTTCATTAAAAAAAAAAATCTTTATACATTGCCATCTGCAACTATTTAGATGGCTATATCTTACCATTTTTTTATGGTTTCTAATAAGGACATCTGCTCAGGCTTCAGATTCAGTAGATACTTTCTGAGTATTTGTTATTTTTAAGAACAACAAAAGCTAAATTGCTCACTCTGTGACATACGAATAACCTTGAGTGGGAAATAGAATTTTTTTCACTCATTAGCCTTATAATTCCCAAAAATAACACAAAATATTCCTTTAATTCATGCTATTCAAAGTATTGTTACTCTGAGTCCCATTTGAAAATGAGGTCTTGCACTCTATGATTAAATCAAGTTCTCTTATATGATAAATTAGTTAATAAAAGAGTACTATATTCCAGCTAAACTCTTCATCTCTTTAAATTAAAATGTAGCGTCATCAAAATGAGGGTTTTATGCTATACAATTAATTGTCCTAAAACAAGATCCATGTGAAAGGGAAGAAAGTAGATTTATCTTAATGCTTTTCCTCCTAAGGATTTACAGTTTGTTCATTCCTGCATTCATTCATATTTTCATAACACAATTACTGAGTTACTGATTTGTCCCACACTCAGTTATGTGCTGGGACACTGCTGTGGTTTCTGGAATAGCTACACAAAACAATTAAACAGAGTAGTTGCGTTAATGAAAGAAAAAAATTAAAGTTTAATTCAGAAGCAACCAGAATTCACAGTGGAGAAAACTTACTTTTATTGAACATGATTTTTCTGTGTTCTCTGTGCACCCCATTTTTAGTTTGAAGTGAAAGGTTACTTTCTTAGAAATATTTACAGAAATCCTAAGAATTAGTTGAATTGCTTTTTAATATCTCCTTTGTAGGCCTCTTATACTGGAGGAATAGATTTTTAAAGTAGCTTCTATTATACTGTGAGTCATTGACTGCTCTCTTTTTTTATACTTTCTTTCAATCATCTACAGGTATAAGAATGGAATTGGCAGAAGGATCTTTGATAATGATGCTTCCTCCTTGTCCAAAACAAGAATATTCATACATCAGAAACATTGGTAGTATATTCAAGATTCTCATTTACCTAACCCTTTTTTTGTTGATTGTTAATGACATTTCATAAAGCAATAATCACTAATGTAAAATAGAATTCTTAATTTGAATTATTATTCAGAATAAGAAAATGAATGTTTATATTA